TTATCTGTTTGTTCTAAGAAGTCTTCTGGGTGAGCTCAAGTTCTCAGCATTGTGAGATGTACTATATCCCTCCTGTCCTCATCCTGGGCCCCCATCAGCATTCATCAACTAGTTCAACAAGTCTACAGTATGGGAGAATTTTGTGTTTGCTCCTCTCCTTCTGGATTTATTCAGCTTCTTCAGTTCTGAAAAAAACCTTTCATCGTAAACTGACAAAGTTACAAAGGGGAGTAAGAATAGAGTCTTGGCTTCTGAACGTAAGAAGATGAAGAAGACAAGACATCTAATATGTGAATTTTCCAGGACAGCAGACCATTCCACTAAGTAACTGAATGGGACTTAACTGAGGTATCCTGCTGGGAGGTTCTTATGGTTGTGTGTGAGCTGCCCCCACAGGTTCATATGTTTGCAGAGTTAGGCCCCAGCTGATTACTGTTTGGGAGGTCTTGGAACTTTTCTGACATGTGATGTAGTTAGCTGAACAGGTCACATGGATGGGGATGTACTGTTATAGCTAGTCCTCGTTCTGGCCCAAGTTCTCTACTTCCTAATAGATGTGTTGAGTCAGATACCTTGTGTCTCTGCTACCATGGACAGAAACCACTTCTGGGGCAGTGAACACTGCAGTGCCTCCCCACTCTGAAACTGTGATTCAACCCGAATTCTTCCTTCTCCAAGTGACTTCTGACAAGCATTTTGTCACAGTGACTGCTGTACACAGCGCCCCCATCTGTGCTTTATGAGCTACAATACTTTTCGTGAGCTTTGGGCAAGGGGCTGGGGGTTGAAATACACAGAGACAGACAGACACACAGACGTCTAATCACTGGTACGAAGTCCTTTATTCAATAGCACCATGGAGGCTTATATACCCAACAGTCAAGTGGGCCAACAGGTGAAAACCTTCTCCTCTGATCCTCAGGGCAAGGCACAGCTTTTAGTAACTCAAATCAGAAGGCTCTAGCAGGAAAGAGCAGCTGAAGACCAAAACTCCATATGGTCCCAACAGTGACAAGAAAAGCAACTAATACAAGGGGTGATCTGAAGGCCCAGGAAGATGATTTGACTCACACCAGTCAGACATTTTCAGGACTCATCTGAGCATGGCATAGCACTTTTGCACAGCAGAACTAGGATGGGGGAAGACTGGAAGCTAGTATACTATTTGCTTAGGACCAACTTTTGTGACTTGTCTAATGTTCTAAAGTTATATTTTTACTAGCTTTATATTATCAGAAGCAAAGGATTTTTTGTTTGTTTGTTCCAGAAAAAAATAGACCTGAGAGATTTATTTTATTCAATGTGACTTCTCTTAAGCAGAAAGTGCCAGACATTTCTAACAGGCGAATGACTGGACCCTACCAGGAGTGTTAATTCTCATCTTGCCTTTCCTCCTAGGGCTTGGTATTCTACAGGAACAGAATGCTGCCTGTCAAAAGCACTAGCTTCTGCCCTCATGTTTTCTGTGCAGAACTGAGGAGAAAAGAACACAGGACGAGCGGCCTGCAGTGTGGATGTTGGTTTTCCCTGGTTATCAGTAATAAATGCAAGACACACGTGACGGCACCTTGCAATAGAATGAGCAATTTTAAATTCCACCTGTCTTAATTACCAGGCCAGGACTTTGTTGCTGGCTTAAAGACATAATCACTTTACTTTTCTTGTTTTTATGTTTCTAAAGTCATCAAGTGAGCAGTGTTAGGCACAGAACTGGGATGTGAATTTGATCCCAGACAGTTCCTTCCCTATTTTCTTTCTTTTTCTTCTTCTTTTTTTTTAGGAACTCACCAGTTAGTGCTCCTCTGATTCCCCGTAGAACTCCTTGGGCAAGCAGTGCCTAGGCCTTGCTTTATCTCCTGAAGCTCTCAAGGCTCTAACTGACTAGTACTAGGGGTGAAGGGGCATCCCCAGGCCCACACACAGCACCTGCAGTTGGCAAGCTTTGAGTGAAAATATAAGACTTGATGGCAGATGTGTCTTTGTATCTTATTTTTTTATTTATGTTTACTTTAATGTGTGAATGCTCCATCTGCCTATATGCCTGCATGCCAGAAGAGGGCATCAGATCCCATTATAGATGGCTGTGAGCCACCATGTGTTTGCTGAGAATTGAACTCGGGACCTCTGGAAGAGCAGCCCTTGCTCCTAACTGCTGAGCCATCTCTCCTGCCCCCATATTTTTGCTCATGTGTGTCCTCAAAGCCCAACTGTGCTCTTAGCAGTTAAAAATACAGTTGCCTCCAGGATTGTATGTGATAAGGCAGGCTTTCTTATTGTTCTGTTGGGTTCCACAGCCTGCTTTCAATCCTACTTCTCAGCTTTCTTCTTGCCAGCCAATCTCCGCAGACATGGTGGATCTCCATTCCCTGGTTCTTGCAATCTAGGCCAGGTGCACTTGGAGCTATGAGCTGGAGCCGCCAGCTTTCCTTGCCCTCCTCTGACCCCACACTAGCAGTAACTCTCCTAGGTGAGCGGATGCCTTTGTTTGCTTTACATTTGAAGCAGTTATCTATGCACCCATGTGTTTGTGAGTTCTCGTGTGTGTGCACCTATGTACCATAGTGTATATGTGGCAGTCGGAGAATTTATGAGAGTCGGCGTCATGTGGATCTTGGTGAGAGGAGTTTGATCCAACAACTTCAGACTTCCAAAATGTAGGAAAACAACTTGATGCCTCCATCCCTGGACCCTTTGAGAACTCCTTATGGAATTTAGACACTTCCCTTCCTGATCCCCCTTCTCATTTTCCTGCTTTTACCAATTGTACCCTGCTTTATCAATTTCTTCAACAACAAATTTAAAAAAATCTCTAATAAAACAATCAGTTATTATGGTTACAAGATTAGCAACCTGAAGCCACAGAGCTGGGGACTCATGAGTACATAAAGTATCCTGATGGTGAGGATCAAGAGAACCTCGAAGATGTCGACACCCACTAGCCAACAGGAAGAGCACAGCGCCCCCATTCCTGCCTTACCAGTCACCCCTTTCTATCTCTTCTCCTTTTATAGTAAACAAGAGGGAAGAATGTCAGAAACACCCCCAGAGCCCCCTTCAGTAACTCAGCACCGGTAGCCACATCATCACCACTCACCATCATCACCATCTCCACTGTCGCTACGAGTCACACATCCCCCTATTATCTGCACTATTCCCTTCACAAAGCCGGTGGCTTCACAGTCTGTTCCCTCCTTCCTCCACTCTTGGTTAAGAGGCTGTCTTTGTTTACCCCCATCTCAATAAATCTCTTGTGTGAGGTCTGTTGTATAACATGAGACTTTTGTGTCATTCCTTGAGCCCGATCCACCAAAGTACTCTTTCACACAATTAAACCCTAATAGACCCACTTGATAAGATAATCAAAAAATATAAACAGTTTGAAGAGTGGTATCCTGCCAGGGTGCATATCACTGCTCCCAGAAGCTATAGGTTGTTAAATGAAAATCCCAGCGCTAGGTGTAGGATACTACCTTATAAGTTATGAGTCACGGAGACCCCAACAGAAGCGGGAGACTATCACTGCCCTTGACTCCCCACTATAAACTAGAGAATACTATCTTGTTGAAGAAACGACATACTTCAACTGCAAAACCGAGAGAAATCAAGTGGGAACCGAGCTGGAAGGTTTCTCCCGGCTGGACAGTTCCCATAGGGCCAGGAGGTGCCATACATACTGCTAAGGAGGAAAAGCTGTCAAGAGCAAAGGCCTAAGAACTGTGAACTGGAAAACTACCTTTCTAGCAATGCCCGCTACAATACATGATTGCTATGGAGGTAGCAACTTTCTGAAGGGATTTGAGGCTCACTCTGTAGGATGGAATTCATGCCTAGTACTGTATATCTGGACAAAGGTCTAGAGGTGGTTGTAGACACTGGGTGAGGGGCTACAAACTACTACTACTGGTTTGCTAAAGGGACATGGTACCAAACTGCCTGCTATATATTTATATTTTCATTTATACCCATAGATTAGTGCTCTCTGCCTCTGTTGTCTGCTACAAATTTCTGTTTGTAGCACTTCTGTTTGTAGCAGACAACAGCTAATAAATTCATCCATATATGGTCAAGGTGCTCGGAAGTGGTAATGGAGGGCTTAGCTCTAAATAGGACATTTGCATAACACACACACACAAACACACATACATGCACTCACACTGCAAGGTTCAGGAGCAGAGATAGACATGGGTGGAGCAGTTAAGAGCATTGCCTGCTCTTCCAAAGGTCCCGAGTTCAATTTTCAGCAACCACATGGTGGCTCACAACTATCTGTAATGAGGTCTGGTGCCCTCTGGAGAAAGAGACCTGGTCAGTCATCTTCATCAATTTAGACCATGAAACCCAATATGGACAAGTTCAACAGAACCGCTCCACCCATGTCTATCTCTGCTTATAAAAAGGAACCAGATGACATTAGCCATCTGCTGTACATCCTTCAGGTGGCGATCTTCCTTTCTACACGAACAGCTCTTGTTTTCAAACTGCATTTAATTTGAAAAACAAAACAAGAAAACCCCCCAATCTTTTTAAGTTTAAAATACATACACACACGAGGGCAGAATATGGAGATGTAAACTGTTACAAGCTGGAGAGCTGGCTCAGTTGTTAAGAGCACTGGCTGATCTTCTCAAAGACCTGGGCTGGCTTCTCAGCACGCGGAGGGGAGCTAACAGTACTCTTTCACTTCAGTTCCAGGGGATCTGCCGCCCTCTGCTGGACCCTATAGGCACTGCAGCACTTGGTCCACAGATACGCATGCAGGCAAAACACCCATACACATAAACTAACTTTTACCGCTTAATGTTTATACATTCACTTGTATTTGAGTTCCCCTCATCTCGTTTGTCACTGAATGTTTGCGAACCATAAGCGAGGGTAGGAAAAACAAATTTAATGTCCCTTGGGGGGCCCTCATAATGTTTGTACCAAGTTCTGTAAAACTAAAGCTTTGCAAAACAAAACTAAACTTTCTCAAGCATTATACTCTTAAGTCACATTTATAATGCAAAACAGATTTAATTTTATTTAAAAATGAGCATTAGAAAAAAAGGAAAGAAAGCAGTCTTCAGCAACTGGGAGACGAAGACTCTTAAATCACTGACTTTATGATCTCCGGTTTGCTTCTTTGCCTTTCAAAGTTAAATCCCTTCACCTGATGAAGTAGAAGGTTTTTCAGTCTGGATGTTCTTTTGTTTCTGTCTTTCTACTCTTTCCACTCTTTCCTGGTAACTCAGTTGACATTTTAAATAATCTTCGTTCCGTTTCTGTTTCTGGATCAACGATGGCAAAACCGCTAAGAGCTACAGACATAAACAGGGAAGAACATCCATTAAGGACCATGCCTTCAATGGGAGGCAATTTATCTAAATTGTAACCTGTGAGCCACCATCCAGAATCTCAAGTTTTGCCGGAAATCTACTAAATCACTACATAGAGTACTGAGCAGGACCAGGTGATTCATAGGCAGATTGAAGGGCCAAAAGAAGTGAGCAAAGATGTTCAAAACCCCTCTGTAAACACAGGCACCTGCTTGCCAGAGTGCCAGGGTGTTTTTATCAGGGGTGCATATGACTTTAAGGAACAAGCTTCTACTGCATACTTTTCAATCCCCTTTCCTTGAATCACATGGAGGCTTGGACTAGATAGATACCCAGAGCCCCTTTTTGAAGACTAAGCTAAGATTCAGGCCTAAAGTCCAACTATGACATCTCCTTAGAGCCCCTTCGTGAGCACATTGTCTAACTGGGGTGGAGGACTTTTTGCTATGGTATTTTTTGACTTCCTAAGACACTAAGGGCTTGGTGAGCTGAACTCTACTTTGAGGAGGGATTTTCATCACCAGCCAGAAAGGTTTCTTCAAGACTACAGGATGATCACGTGGCAAATGGTGCCTCCCAGCTGGCAGCAGCATCGCCTGCAACTTGCTTCAAAAGCAAGTGGAGACCCCATGCAAAGCATATTAAATGAAATAAACTGTGTGTGGGTGCCAGCAGTTTTGGGTAGCGAGTTCTCCAAGGGTTTCAGATCAATGAGCTTAGGCATTTCTGAATGTAAACTTACAAGCTGGCACCAGACCATTTTGTATAATTGTATACTTGTCCAGAACACCTTGCTTCTTGGAAAGCTATGTTGGAATGCATTGCACCCTTCCTTCCTTAGATCTCTAACCTCTCAGGTCCTAGTTACACTCAGCAATGAGTTTCTGTTCTTCCTTGAGGATAAACACACATACGTAATGTGGAGTGTACTTCTGCCTGCTCACTTCATAGGCAAATTGCTAGCCAAAAGTGAGAAATGACCTTGGGAGAACCAATTACCTACTTACATCAGATTCACGATCCAGACAAGCTCTCGTGTTTAGATTTAACAGGATCTGTGTTAATGTTCTTTCCAGCTCCTGAGCTAATTTTAGGGCTTCTGTAGGAGTGGTTATTTCATTCATACTAGGCTTCTGTTGGAGAGGAACAGAGTTGTTAATTTCCTTCCTTGGGCCAGGTTATATTTCTACTTATAACGATAAGACGTGCACAGTCCAACAGTTTCCACAATCTTGAGTGCCTTGGAATCGGCTGAGTCTGGATGGCTCACTTGCAAACACTGATTTTAAATGATGGGATCAAGGATTTTCACCTGCAGAGATAATGTTTAATGTGCTACAAATCAAGAACATTGAGGGTAAATGGCCCAGGTATATATTCAATTATTCCTAGGTTTGGAGTTGTATAGTGATGACAGTTCTGTTTTCTTATTAGTAGATATTTCTCTTTATAAAGGTTCATTTAAAAAAATAAACCAACAGTAACGTTTTAGATAATCAGGGAAGTAATGTCCCTGAGTTTCAGACTATTTCTTTTGAGTGTCTTTCCTGAGAAATGAGATGGAGTACAGCACTGAAAGGAGACATGAAACCTGAACCTGTGGATCAACCAGTGATAGGAAAGAGGATATTAATGAGCCTATGAAGATGTTGTGAGGATACTGCTTCTCAGTCTATGGAACATTCGGATCAAGTTAAGACAGAATGAGGTACGTATTAAGATACAACTCCGAGGTCCCATTCACAGATTAACTTGGGCCTGGGCTGAGGTCCGTGAATTTGCATTTCTCAGGATCCTCAGGTGGTGTTTGCTGGTGCAGAGACAATCCTTTGTGTACTTCATTGAGAAAAGCTAGACAAGCATTCAGTGACTAAGTTTTACCCCCAAAGGTGTTGACACATGCTTACCCTAGAGTTCTGTCACAAAGAAGAGCATCTAAGAACATGAATAAACTAATAAATGAGATAGCAATCAATTATTTCCATGGCCTAGACAAGACCCTGGAGAGACGATCACAGTAAAATTATAGTTACCTTATGAATTGGAGGACAGATCTTACCCTTACGTTTCCATAGACGTTTTAGGAATTGATGTGCAACTTCCCTCCTCGCTTCAGCCTGACTTTCAAAGAACCGGGCAAAAGGGGGCATTTTCTTATCAACCACAAAGCTGTAGGCCTAGGACAGAAGTAAGACTATGAGAATATTGGGGATAGGAGAAGCTTAGTCTTGTTTCTAGCACTCTTGTTCATTAATTATTAGATTCATGACAGAATGCAGTGAAAGATTCATTAATCCCAACGTGTCTACATTGAAAAATATACCAATAATCACATAGTGGTATAAACATATTAATTCTGCCTCACACAACTGTTTGATGCCCATTTAATTCTGGGGACCTACTACAAAGGTTGTATTCTCCTCATCCTAACCCACGATATCCAATTACAGTTCTAAATCAACAGACATCCATACCATAACCAACTGAGTTGCCATTTTTCCTAGTATCAAATTGCAAATATACCTAGGAATATTTCTAAATGATAACAATTCCATTGTCACCCATAACAGAGCAGAATCCTCCCACATAGGCATTCAACAGTTCATACTAACCATTCCTAAATAGACGCAGGAGATATGCAGGTGGTAAGCCACAGTTTGGTTCAAAGCATCTACACAGTCTTTAGAAAAAGGGTCGCAGAAATCCATCCCAGCACTAGGGAAATTCAGCCAAACAATGAAATTCCCACTGCTGTGGAGTGCTTCTTAAATCTGATAGGTCAGCCCACTTCTAATGACAAGGTGAATTTTCTTCCAGCTGTAACTAATAGTAACCGACCCACCAACAAAGGCAGTGTTTCTGAATGGAAGACCAACTCTGTTCAAAGAAGACCTGTGGAGGGGGGGAGTTACTCTAGTTATCTCTGCGTTCAGTGTTCTGGCCAATCTTTCTAAATATGATTCGAGAAGGCTGATATACCCTGGGAGAGTGGTGTATTGTCAAAAGGGATTCATTGCCTTTGCTCATCCCTCTCCTTTCAGAACTATGATGGCTCAGCATGCTGGCTCCACATAGAACCTACCCTACGACCCCAAACTTTGTACATAAGACCTCAGCAGGCTTCACACGGCTGAGCTTAGCGTGGGATAAGGCAGGGTTCTGAAAAAGCAAAATCATGCCAGCTAGGAAGAGTAGGGCAGAGTCTCTGAAAAAAATATGCATTCTAAATCTGTCTTGCTAGGGAAGGCAGAGAAGTGGAATCAGAAAGGAGGCGATCTTCCAGAGAACAGCTGCAGCTACCAGATGAGGCCGTAGTTTCCCAATTTCTCTGTTGAATTCCTTCGTACTCCATCTCTCTGAAGTTCCTACCTGGCCTGATGCCGACTTCTTCATTATTTATTACCTCCTGAGGCCAGGGACTGTTGTACTTGATTCACCATTCCTATGATCCATAATGAGCTACTTTTAGGTAGTGTGTTGAACCAGCACTGATTAATAACAGTGTATTTTCTATGTACGTAAAAGTCCAAATGTTCCATATGTCTGGTGGATCGCTACTTGGACCTAAGTTATGTCTGCATGAATACAATTGGAAATTGCATGTGTCCAAAAGTCTATCTCTGTGAGGCCATGAGGGGTGAGCACTTTCGTGAGGGAGGACGAGTCAGTGAAGGAGCTAAGCTTTCAAAGCTAGGCAGAGTTTCACACACAAATATCTTAAGGAAGACTATAAACATGTCACTTCACTTGTGTCTTTTGTTTCCTGATGCAACACTGTTCTTGGCCCCCATTGAATTTATGCCTCCATTTTAGAAAGAGAGAGATAGTTTAAGACAGTGCCTCTCAAACCATAGTTTACATAGGAATCACCTGGGACTTAGGTTCAGCTACAGTACTGTGATTGGTGGAGCCTGATACACTGCATCTCTGAGCTGCTGCCAGATGCGCCCCATCAAGGGATACACCGTGAGAAGATGGGTTTCAAGAATATTCCCCAAAAGACCCTAATGAAATTCTGTAAGGTAGAAACCATGCTGCTGATGATCTTTGAGTAGGAGAGGAAGGGAAGATTCTCCAGAGGTCCCTGTGTTACCCTGACGTGTCTAAACCGTCAGGACCCCCATGGCAGAGTCCTTGGGAAGCAGAAATGCTACGACATTTCAGGATACTGGACTCTGCAGGTCAGAGCAGGCCAAGGGGAAGGAACATCGAAGCTGTAAATATTGTGCACTGGTTCTGCTCACAGCTGAGGAAAACATGACCCAACTCCTCCTTCCCCAGTTCATGAAATTTTTCAGAAGATCAGAATACTGTGTGAGCAATAAGGGCTATTGATAAAACGTTTGGTTTGTTACTCTCTGTATGATGCAGTTTCTATGTGAATGAATCTACAAGCTGTAGATTTTAGTTTAGCAAGACTTTTATGATCAGTTGGATATCTTTGCAGGATTCTAAGATACTGTAATGATACCTCCACACAAAAGTGGCATGATTCTACTATTCCTTCTGGGACAAGACATAACTGAATATATGTATTTATAGTCATATAAACTTTATGCACACATATGAAGGAATACTAGCTTTATCCTGCGGCTAGATATTACTAAGTGGTTTAGGCAGGGTTCTCTAGAGGCACAGAACTTAAGGAAGTAATCTCCTCTCTCTATAGAAAGGGAATCTATTGGACTGACTTATAGGCTGTAGTCCAGCAATGGCTAGCTGTCAACGGAAGGTCCAAAAATCGAGTGGTTTCTCGGTGCCATGAGGCTGGGTGTTTCAGCCAGTCTTCTGTATATGCTGAAATGTCAAAGAAGTAGGCTCCAATTCAAGGGCAACCAGCCAAATAAGGAAACCTTCCTTCCATTGTCCTAACATAGGCTTCCAGTTGAAGGTGTGGCCCAGATTAAAGGTGTGTATTCCAGCCTCAAGATCACAGGTCTGCCCTCCATTTCTGGCATTCCAGAAACACCCCAGTAGACAACCCAGAATAGCCATCATTCTAAGGAATGGTGCTTATATTGCTATTTATCCATTTTTAAAGAACTTCAGTGGTTTCTTTTTTGCTTTACATATTTTTATAGCCTTTATAATAATTTTGCTGTAATAAAGTATGACAGATGTTCTGTAGGCTTTCAGGTACAGCTATTTTTTTTTCTAAATCAACCCCTACAACCTGAAATATATTTATTATGTATAATTATTATAAAATATATGAAATTATAGTTTTAAAAATGAACAGTCTGTGATTGACTAAGAGATCACTGACTATATATAGCCTAATGTCTTCTTAGGAAAGTACAAATCACCCCTATTATAGGATCAGTGAAATATGAGGAGGAATTGTTACACCACATTATATTGGATACACATGCAAACCCTTAAATAGTCATAGAAAAGAAGATGATCAGGGAATAGAGTTCAATAGGGCTTTAACCACCTTCCGGAGACACAAACACAGCATTGACAACATGTCTCTATCATAACTATAGTAACCATACCTGCACTTTCATTTGGCAAATGCTTTTTGTAGTACCCCAAAGTGTACATCCTAGTGAAAAATGTGACTTTCACCCACTGAAAAGCAACCTAATCTTACCCCAAGAGAAGGGAATTATGATCTCACTAATCAGACTAGAATGGCTATATTATTAGCACGTACACTGGTAAATACTTATCACAACAAGATAGACATGATATCATCACATGAATTTTTCATTGTTTATTTGTACACACACATACATACACACTGCCACCACCACTAACGTCATTACTACCAAAACTAGCAATCACAGAAACAGAAAATAGAACAAACCCTTAACCCCACCCTCCTACGCTAGTCTGTGGTGTGGACAATCCTTGTAGAGATCAGTTTCCCTGGACGGCTACAGTCAGTTCCTTCTCTGCCGAGGAACTAATGTGTAGTGTTTGATGAGGAAAAAAACATGCTGTCACTGTTTTTGGTGAGTATGTGTCTGGTTTGATTCCAGCATAGTTTGACACAAACACTGGAAAAAAATGAAAACAAAAGCTGCAGAACCAATGCCACCAATGGCGTCCTATGATTGAACGGCTGTGCAGGATTGGTTCAGGTGTGAGGAGAAGGATGATGGAGGCGGTGGTTGGCTCGTGTGAACGTCACTGGCAAGGACTGATATGCTGGCTGCAACAGGAGCGTGATATTAAACCTTGTGGGGAAGATGTTACCTAGGCGTTTGCCTTTTCCCCATCCCCTTTCTTCTAACGAATCCCCACTAATGGCATTTTATATTAATTGAGCTTTTTCATATTTTTTATTATGTTTATAACCAACTGCCTCATGACCCTACTGCTCTGACATCCCTGCCATGATGGCCTATATCTTCCTAAAGCACAAGGCAAAAGACTCTCTTCCTTAATTTGCCTTCATGAGGCATTTTGTCTCTCTGATGAGAAAAGAAACTTATCCAGAAAGTGGGTACTAAGCATAGAACAGTTGCTGAGATAAACCCGACTATGTAGTCCAGAGGCCTTTAGAACTGATTGGCCATAGGAATCCGTACGCATTTAGAGAGCACTAGAATGCAATGAGCAGAACTCAATGGGACATTCTGCTGGGGAGGGAAAGATAAGCATGCCAAGAGAGAGACAGACAGTAGAAGCCTGGTATGAGACTTCAGACTGAGACGGGAATTCTGTCAAGAACAGGACTGGTGGCTATTTGGGTGGTGGTCAGGTGAAGAATCTGGTTGCATTCTGCCTGTGTCTTCACAGCTTGAGTGAGGCCAAGTTTAGAAACAATGGTCTAATTCATGAGAGGGAAGAAGCGTCAGGGCATGGTAGCGTTAAGCCCGTGTCACAATTGCTGCTCCTGTTCTCATCCAGCTCCCCAGGCAGAAAGGACAACAAACAGCAGAAAAATAAGAAAAGTTTAGTGCAGAAAAGAGACTGAGTTTAAAGACAGAGATGGGGTTAGTATGAAAACAACTCTAATCTGTCTTTATTAATGCTATTAGCATTATTAAAGAGAAACCCATTCCTCTGACCTGGGATAATAGTAAGATGTCCTGAAGGTAAGACTCAACCTATCAAAGTCCCCAGGTTGTAAAATGAAAATTTATTTGAAATGAGACAGACTGAAAGAAACACCTGAGAAAGTGTTTCTTTAGGCATGTGATGGTAGTTGAGACTCCATTCCCGAAGGGCCAGTCTACACCTTGAGCTGGTAGTAGAACTAGGCGGTATTGCCTAGTAGTACTGGTTTTGCAGGCATGAAAGTTACAAAAATGAGGGAGTTATGGTAGCTGGGTCGAGATTCCCAAAGTTCTGCAGCCAGGCAATGTGTGGCAGGGCCACAGTCTCTGCAAGGAGGTTCCCCAACACCATTGCATGAAACTGTAAAGGTAAAGCCTGGGGTTTGATGGATGCCATAGGGTGTTCGAGATGAAAAACTGTTTGACTTCTGCCAAGATAAATCCAGGTATAAAGTGCACTCCACGCCAAGAGGAGGCTATGTGTGTTGCAGGTAATAAAGCTGGAAGGGGGCCATGGCACTATAGGGTTTGTTGTTTTCTCTATGGGGTTTTGCTCTTGTTTTGGTCCAACCTTTCCTTGATATGCCCCCATGCCTCCATTTTGGAATGGGGATAGTCATTGAGAGCCATTGTAACAATATTATATTGTAACACTGTTATATTGGAAGGATGCAATTTTTTAAACATTTCCTTCCATAAAGGCTTCTAGTTAAGAGATTGGGTTCAGCCAGGTGTGGGGGTACACACCTTTAATCCCAGCACTCTAGAGGCAGAAGCTGGTGTTTCTCTGTGCATTCAAGGCCAGTCTGGTCTACAGAGGTTGTTCCAGGACAGTGACAGACAAGGCTACACAGAGAAACATTGTCTTGAAAAACAGGAGTGGGGGAGGGGAAAGGAAAGCGAAAAGAAAGGAGAGATAGATAGATAGGTTGGTAGGTAGGTAGATAGATAGATATTGGCTTGAGTCTCAAAAAATAAACTTTGAATTTTTAAAGAGTATTGCAGTTCTTAATGACTTGATGCTTTTGAAATTGAAATGAATGCATTTTCCATTATGAACCTGTAGGGGCCAGGGAAAGATGACATTCTGGTTTAAAATAATAT